GTAGTATCCACATATGGAGAATGTGTGTTTGTTAATGGTTTTATGCACATGCTGGAGTTCACCCAGATAGTTGATGTTGATATGGAGGGAAAGACATAGAGGAAAATTCATAGGCCAACTGGTGATGCAATCTCCATCCATGAAGTTCAGGGTCAGTTGTGTTTATGTACTGCTAATACTTTGAATAAGTATGAGCTTTCAATATGGATCCTTGAAGACTATGGTACTAGTAAAAATGGACATTGAAGCATAAGGTGACCACGTTGGAGCTATTTGGAAAGAAGAATATTGAAATTGGTACTAAGGTTTGTGATGCGGCCTACAGAGTGATTACAATTCATCCAGAATAGAATTTGATTTTTCTTGTTGGGGAGGACAAAAACACTGCTTGCATATGACATGAACAACAGTAAAGTTCATGTCCTACCTGCCTGGGCCATCGGCTATCCTAGAAGTATCTAGAAACTATTATGTATGAGCGGCGGACCTCACTATCTTCCTTATGTTTCCTTGTTCATGGAGTCATTAGCAGAGCAGTAAAGGTGCATATGCTGTATTTTGTTGTAATTATGTCATTCCTTTGTTCAAGTAGGTAGTTGTTTTGATTCTATATATAGGCTAATTTGGGTTTCGTAACTAAATGAATGGTGTGTTGAATATTATTAATTCTGATGTTTTGTGTAGGTGGAGTCTGAGTGCTTTTAAACAATTTTCCTGCATTGGCTAGGAGGAAGAAGAGGGGTTCCATGGTGCATTGCCTACCAATTTGAAGGATGCACTAATTATATTTATTTTTGCCTAGCAAGCAAGAGTGCCACATAGGAGGAGCACAGCTACGTCGTTTCGTTATGTAAATCTATAGAGATCAGTCCCTTTAGTTTGCAATCTATGTATCGCTTGTATTAGGACATCAGTTGAGAAAGATATTATGGTAAGCATCCATTGCTATTGTAAGAACATGGTTTATGAATGCAATGATCATATTTGTATGCTTTGTGTTCAGTGAGCTATTAAGGATCGTTTATTGTTTTGTTATCACTACCGCCATTGGTGGTGCAAACGTCCAACACCGTTGCTATACGTATTATGCGGCAGGGATAAAAGTGTATCACCGCCGAATCCTTTACTAAATCGACACCGACTAAACGATCATCAAAGGCGGATCGTGGTACAAGGCGATGGTGACCATGACATTTGTACTGACGGTTCATACGCTAAAGCAACGGTGATGTTTACCTCTACAGTCGTCTCGGTCGTCGAAGCGACAGTGAAGCTGCACCGTAGACAGTCGGGTCGAAGTACAAGGAGACGGTGCTGGTGACCACTACACAGGCGGTTGATGTGCCCACACGATGGTGATGATAGCCTCCACACAGGCGGATCGTTTGTCAATGCGGCGGTGTTAGTGTATATCCACAGATGGGTCGTGCTCCAATGCGACGAAAGTAAGGACCTTATCATGGATGGATCATAAGCCAATACGGCGGTGTAGTGTGTACTGTAGTTGGTCTCAGATGCCGACAGTGAGGGCTATGACCATCACTGCCGACAGCTTACTGCCGAGGCCGAAATACGGCTGTGATGGGGGTTACGACGTGGCTGTGAAAGTTCTGAGTGTAGTAGTGAATTGTTAGAAATAGTGATTTTTTTGAAAAAAACGTCCTCGCATCTTCATTTGAATATCTAAATATATAGCCATCCTATACTCCAAATTTCTCGCTTGTTAAAGATCGAGAGCAAGGTTGACTCTTTAGAGTGTGCACAACATATAGAGAAGTTGTCGAAGAGTGTAAAAGATATAGAAAGTAATTTTTATTCACATTGCTCTCTAAAGGCTTCATCCGAGTTCTTATAAAAAAGTTATGAATTATTTTTATGTAACTATTTACGAAAGATATTCGCCTCCAGAAATCGATGTTAGAAGACAGATTCTTAGAATGCCCGCTTCCAAAAGTCATTGATTAACAGAGACGGTCATTTTAAGATGATTGCCTCGGAAAATCGATTTAAAGAGACAGATGTCCTAAGACAACCGTCTCCATTAATTGATGATTTTTAGAGGCCATAAATAATTTTGGGAGGTAGGCATTTTCTTGGAGCTCTCTAACAATTTAGGAAGGCGGCTGAATGCACACCACATAGAGGTCCTCTAGAGTCTCCGTACTGAGTAGTAGGGGTATGTCGGTCTTCCTCCTCCTCTGATCCCTCTCCAGCTCCCCTGCTCTGGCCCCCTTCCTCTTCGCCTTCGGCATCTTGCCGGCAGCTAGAGGGAGGAGGGCCGGTCCTAGTTCCCCTGTGCATACTTGCTTTTCCTTGTTTAAGTTTGAGTCTAGTGTTTTTAGATGAGTGTTCTTCGCCGCTGTTCTTGTGCCATGGTGGCTGTTGTACTAGATCTCTTCCTTGAACTATGCGTTGGCTGCGGGCGTTTCCCTCCTCCCCTTCCTTTACTCTCCTCGCAGCGAAGCAGCAACAACATGCCGACCATAGTGCACACGACGGAGGAGGAGCTGATGCTTGTCGTCCTCTGCTTCACTTGGCTGGGTCGACGCGAGCCCGGCGGTCGCTGAACCCATGGTCACCCATCTCCACCTTGATGTGCTGGTGCACCTCCTCGCGCGACGTGGTCACCGGCATCATGCCCTCGCACTCCCTCACCGACGCCGTCAGCTGGCGCTTCCTTGACTCCTCTCCCGACTCCGCCGCTACTCTGGCGCCCGCTCCCTTGGGCCCCCGCCAACACCCTCTCCAACCTAGAGATGGCGCGCCACCGCCAGGCCCTCCTCGCAGGAGAGCCCCCGACGAGGCAGACGATGCGAGCGTCTGTGATGCCACCAGAGCCAGTCATCAGAGCTTTACACCGCGGTGGGTGCCTGCTATGTTGTGGGGCCCTCCACCAGAGCGGTGGGTCCCGATGCTGCAACGTGCAGCGCATGCAAGCGTCCTCCTCGGGAGACGTGTGTGGAGGCTGTGTTGCGTACTTGCGTTCATGGACGCCTCCGAACCTCTCCTCAATCGGGGCCACCAACGCCATGTGCAAGAATGCTACTATTCTTTGCAGAGAGTCGGGGTTGGTCCTTCCACGTGCCCAGCCATTTGGTATTGTTCTCTGCTTTTCAGGTTCCTGTTTTTCGGCTAGATGGAAATGCGGAAGCGGCAAAGCTACTCCTGGTATTCCGTTAGACCGCCGATTCTCGCCGATGCCGGTCCTCAGATTTAGTATCAAGAGAAGTAGTGCCAGCCTCTTGAGTTAGGTGAACCACATAGAAGATCTATGACTCAAGATCTTAAATCCTTATAAACACATGGCCGATCACACAGTCGAGAGGAGCATCAACTGTGCTATCGGAGTGCAACAAGGAGGATACCCGATGTCTCCGTCGTGGCCATGTCTTCATCATGGTCCGGCGCCCCTGATAGGGTCATCAACACCTATGTTTTCTCCAACAGAAAAATTGATCATCTCCTTCAAGAGCAAGAGGATCGGCTTTTTCATATGAGTCATTCGGTTGATTCTTTTCTAGTAGCTAGGGAGCTACACCTCAATGTACAATCCCAAAACTTTGTACTCCGTTCTAATTGTTATAATATATGGGGTATGTGTTGTTGTAAAAAAACAATTTAAGAAGGCGGTCGCTAGATGTGTCCGCCTCGTTAATCTTTGGGTCTACCTCGCAAAATTAGTTTTGCAGTAGCGCATTTTGGCTGAACAGTAGAGGAACAAAGTCGTTTGGGGGTGAGAAGCCAAAGCCACAAAAAGTGACTCTTTCTCAAGTGTTCCGGCTCCTATATAGAAGTAATGAATGAGAAGTTGTGCCAAACACGCCGTAAATGATGATTTGGGGCCTAGGTTTTGTACCTTATTTGGAAGGGCTGCTCCCTAAATACCCTTCCAGATGAGCCGAAGTTATTTTCAGTCTTTTTTTAATAGAAAAATGTCTCCAAATAACTTCTAGTAAATCATTTTATAGATATTTTTAACAAGCTAGAGCCGAGAGGAACGTTAGAGCATCTCTAAGAGAAGGCTAATAATACCCCAAAACTAAAATTTGCGTGCTTAGGAGAAAAAACACGGTCCAACAGCTCCCAAACCTTCCCCCAAGGTTTGCTCGCTCTGAAAAACTGAGCCCACGCCCCTCATATGTGTAGACTGACGGCGCCCCCAATCTTCTCCCGCGCTTCTCTTCCGGCGCTTGTGCCCCGTTTTGGTAGAGAATTCCCACGCTCCTCCAATCATGCACACCATTCTACTTGCAGTTTTCACCCAAGTTATTAGGACCGGACCGGAGATCGAACCGGCGAGGCTGTCGGTTCACTGGTTCACTGGTCCAACCGTTTAGAACCGGTTGAACCGCCGGTTCAATTGTTTTGGACCGTTGAATCAAACCGGCCAGAAATATAATGAACCGATGTATATATATATATATATATATATATATATATATGATATAATTAATAATTTATAGATGGTAAACAACACAAATTAATTGTTCAACCATAAGATTCATACATGCAAATTAATTCAAAACATCAAGTGTGAGAATAATCTCATTGTGATAATTCAAAACAGAATAAATAGAATAGTAATTGAAATATTCACAAATCACAAATGCAGAACAATCTCAAATGCTAAATATAAGTGCACCATTGCAAAGAGCTCGTTGTGGTAATCAAAATAGATATATTATTTGTCTAATTTGGAGCTAGTATGAAAAAGATATGAAAATTTGAAATTTATATATTATACATATTATTTAATATATGTATTATATATTTAATTTGGTGACGTCACAGCCACCAAAATTCAAACGGGACACACATCCTCTCCAAAGCGTGATGCGTGAACACCTGCGGCAGTAACAACCAGGCGGGGGCCGCAGCGGGACGTACCCACAGCAGTGGCACTGTGGCAGGCGCAGGCGCATGCGCCCGTCACCCGGGGACCAATCAGGAGCAGGCGCAGTGACACACGCTGACTACCAGCATCGACTCGGCCGGTTCGCATGGAACCGCCCGGTTCGCCGGTTCCGTAAAAAACCGGCCAGTTTAACCGGTTTTTAGTGGTTCGATTGCATAGACGGTCTTTTAAGTGAACCGGACCGGTCTAAGCTCTGGTTCGGTCTTTTAGCGGTCCAACCGCCGGTCCGATCCGGTCTGAATAACTAGGGTTTTCACACCCTCCGTCCTTTCATCGGCATAGAGAGGTGCTGCTGCAATTTGGCCGCAGCCGTCATGACCTGCTAGGGCCGCCCCAGGGCATGCTGTGCGTGGCGGCGTACAAAAGCGGGTAGTGGCTCCGTTCTCATGCAACTAATTGACGATGTGGCAAGTTCAAAATATTTTTGGGTGCAAAATATTGGAGAACTGCAGTGGAGCAAACTAGTTTTTGAAAAACAATTATTTAAAAGAGTCCCTCGATATAGAGTTTTGGGGTTATACTTTTGGGAGCTCCTGGAGTTGCTCTTGCCATGACACTGAATCCAAAAATCAACACTCTCACGATGTCACCGTATTTCGAAGTGGACACCGGCCCACCGCCCACCACCGTCCCGTACTCCCGTCGCATCCCGTGGACTGGTCAACCCTCCCCGACGACGTGGTTCGCCTCGTCTTCGGCCGCCTCCACGATCCGCTCGACTTCCTACGCCTCCGCGCCGTCTGCCGTGCTTGGCGCTCTGCCGCCGCCTTCCCTCCTCCCTTCCTCCCCTGGCTTCTCGCCTGCCCCTGCACCGCCCATCCCAGTGACCCCACCGCCGCAGCCCTCTCCTTCTCTCTCGCCTCTGGCGCCGTCCGCTCCGTGGTCGCCCCCTCGTCCTCCCACCGCCTCCTCGGCCCAACCCGCTCCCATCTCCTCCTCTCTGATAATCCCCGCCTCCTCCTCCTCAACCCCCTCACCGGCGCTCGGCTCCCCCTCGCTGACTCTCCCTTCCCCGCTTCCAGCCCCGTCATCCAAGGCTACCTCGTCCCCACCGCCGACCACTCCCCGGCGCCGGTGGTACTTTACAACGCCAAGAAGCTCTACTTCCATTTCTGCCACCCGGACCCGGCCAGGGGTGGACCTACAGGCCTCGGAGATGGTGATGGTTGGGCGGAGCTGCCGGTGCCAGGCCTTGTCGCAGAGAACATGTACCACAACGGGAAGCTGTATGTGTGCGATGATCAAGGCCACGTTACGGTCTTTGACGCGGCCACGTTGGCCGTGCTCGGGGCTGTGCCGCCGCCTCTGCCACAAGTCGCCCCTCCACGCAGGGATGCCTTCGACTGCACCGCCCTGGTGGCTGGTGCCATCTGGAGACGAGTTGCTGTGCGTGATCCGGCACTTCGGGAAGGATGGGCGTGGGGAGTTACTGGAGGATTGCAGCAGTTTGAAGGTTTACCTGTTGGATATGGAAATTGGACAGGGGCATGATCAGTTGATACAATTGCCGCGGTGGGTTCTGATGAGGAGCATAGGTGATCGTATGCTATTTATTGGGCTGTTCCAGGGGTTCTCATTCAATGCCTCGGATTTCCACGGATTTAAGGGGGATTGCATCTATTTCTTTAAGTTGGAGAGGGACAAGAGGTCTTCCATCTACAGGTTTAGCATGGAAGATGGCCACACTGAGGAGCTGCCTGGCCCGTGGATGCATGCTTGCACTTGGTTTGTGCCGAGCTTGTCTTAGCACTTGCTATGGACAAGCGGGGTAAGCTTCCATTGCTTGTACATTGCGGTTGTGGGCTTTTTGGTTAAGAAACTAGTGTTGATTCTCCAAGATATTGTTCTGAGATCATTGTTCATGCATTCTGCTGCTGCATACAATTATCTGGTGAAGCACAGATTATCAGAAAAATAGATGTGTAGAGTGATAGTCTGTGAATATGAATCAAAAGTTTTGATAACTTATTGATTAGTCATGTACATTTCAAATAAGATTAGGAAATTTCTCTTGGATCTCAGTTCGTCAAGTATTGTAACAAATTAAATGTACTTAAGCACAAGAAACTATGCCTCCATCCAGCTGCATATAAAACTTGCAGTTATTGTTACCATATATTCTTTCACATTTCCATAACTTATCTGCTGACATGGTAAACATCAACACTGCATTTGAAGGGGAAAAAAATGCAATGTGCCTATTCTCTGTGGACAGCACTTGCATGCAAACATACTCTGAATAAGCTACACTGTGCTAATTGTCTCCATTCTCTTCAGTGGTATAAAAATAATATAGTACTGTGGAGTTTTCAGATAACTACAATTCTATCTGAATAGTGAACTCTCCTTGATTCCGACCTTTTAATATTGAAGTAAAGTTACTAAATTCACCTTCCTAGAATCCTTCCTATACAGTGCAAATCCTATTAATAAGAGAAACAATGTAGTTCAGACTTATGGGTGTTATTTCTCAGAATAAAAGTGCAGATATGGATGCCATATCTGTAATTACCTTGCTCTTTCTTAATTTGGCTGCATTACTATCGAACTGTGGTAATACCACAAGTACTTCAGTTTTATTTTCTGCATGTGAAAGGAATTCTAACTGAATAGATCTTCCTACTGACATATAAAATGAGAAACTGTCATTAATGAGCTATTGGTTTTTTACGGTTTTTGGGAAATACTAATATTTTCCCTCTAGTTTAAATATAAAAATCATATATGTGCTTTTGCTAAATTTTTTGTGATGCTCAAATATTCTTAAATGGTTGCAAGACTTTGGCTCCTTAGCTCCTGCAGATACATGGCAGCCTTAAACTAGTACTGTATGAAGCATGCCAATGACAAATAGTTTGCTAATCCTTGTTCACCTTTCTGTGGAGATTTTTGCAAATCTGCCATAGCATATTGTATTAGTTAGCATTTCGTCAATCCAAGGTTCTACATGTCCTAGTGAACTATCGAAATCTGTTCATCATCTAATAAAATCATCAAACGGAAGATTAGACAGCTAAGAAATCAGTGGGGTGGCAGAGAAATGCAGGAACATTTTATGCATTTATCTGGATGCTGGAGCTGGCACATGCAGATTTAACAGTGGAGACCTCCAGACTGAAGTGGATTGAAGATCAGTGTGATGAGGCCTTTGTTGAACAGTCTTGACACAGCAGTTGTATTCATGGCTGATGATGAAAAGGGATGCATATTATTTTTGACATGGAGAGCCCTAAATGGCTAAATCATCATTCCTCCATGACAGAAGTGTAAGCTCTGGCCTACAAGGAGGCTTAGCATGCACGCGCCCCATTGTTGTGTAGTACTGCAGCAGAGTAGAGCATTATCTCAAGCTGACAAGCATGTAGGATACGTCCAGCATGAGGATCATTATCTTGGAGGTGAATGAATATTGCAGACCTGCCCTGCCAAAAGGTTCAGGTTCATTTTTTAAGACAAGAAAATAGACAATAGCAAAATAAAGGTAGTACATGAGCTAGGTCAGTTCCTAGTGCGATCTACCTTCATCAAATCCCTTTGACTGCTGACTAATCCATGATGGGTTTTCCCCCAATGAGTTCATATTAACATATACGTTCCCTGTTAGCATTTAGCATCCACTAGAAAATCATTAAGAGTAAACATAAAATAACATGTATGTTGATTAGTAACAAAAAAGGAAATATTGCCTACTACATGATTATTACTATAATAGAACAGAAGGTACAGAAAGTATTATTTTAGTAATTTCGGTGTGTATGATGGGGAAATGCCCTGAAAAGTGCAGATAATGTTGGAAGATTTCAGGAATTCTGGATAAATTTACCAGATACGGAGACCATGCCAAGATCAAATTCAGTCAAGTTCAAAGGTACAAGGAAAAGATATGCATTGTTTTACTTTTCAGCTAACATCTGCTGATTTTGTGTCAAATAATGCAAATATGCAATTGAGGCTATGAATGAACCCTGTTGGCAGACCTCATTTACCAGGCCATCAGAGAACTGTCTGAGTGCTGCAGGCAAGGCTTCCTTCCTGGCATCATTGCATAATGCATATTATGCTTGGAGGAATCAGATATTGTGGGGGGCTGGTATGTGGGTGCCCGAGACTGAGAGGTTCTAACACCTACATACTCCCTCCGTTCCAAATTATAAGACGTTTTGTCTTTTCTAGATACATTACTTTTACTACGTCTAAGTGCATAACAAAATCTGTGTATCTAGAAAAGCCAAAAGTCTTATAATTTGGGATGGAGGGAGTACTTACCTACCTCCTCATGAATAATAAGAGGAAAGAAGGTTAAACTCTCTGTCATCTAGCGAAATTTTCTGGTATCATAATTTTTTTCTGCAAGATCTGATCAGCGAAAGTAGGGTGCCATTGTATATTACTTGGCCTAAAGTTTTTATGCATCTTATACAGTGAATGACTACAAGTTTTTTCTTTTGAAGAAATGAACGACTACAACTCAAACCACCAATGCTGCACATATTCTGTTGAGATTGACACATGTTAATTATTGAGAATTTTCTTTTCATAGTCTACTGTTTGACCAGATAAGCATTGTTGCAGCTTAACAGATGTGATTTACAGTTATGTTACCGATAAGCATCAGAACAGATGTATTTCTCTTGACTAATCTGCTTATGTACTCTACAGAAGCATCACAAAAACATATATATTTTCAGAAAGAGTTTAGCTTGAAGTACCAGAAGTGTGAACTTCGTTGAAACTAAGCTGCTGTAACCTTTTATACGATGTGTTTCAAATTTCTTACTGTGTCCATTACTTATCCCATTAGGGCACATTTAAATGGAGGTCATTTGCATCCAAATTTGTAGGATTGAGTTAAATTTGATGGAAATACCCAATTTACTAGTACAATCCTCTTGCAACTTCTTCCCTTGTATTGGTTTGATGACCTTTTCTTGTTTGTTACTATATCTTTAAACAATAATTGATTAGTTATTGATATGTGTAATCTCGTTTGATTGTTTTTCACAGCTGCAGTTGCACATCAAAAGCATTTAGATTGCATGAGAATTGAGAACCGCATTTCAAACAGACATCAGCTGTAAGGAACTTCCCTATACACATCACCAAAGTAAGCATTCCTGATGCACCTTACTTGAGGGTTAACAAAAGATGAATCTTTATTGAATGTGTTGGTGTCGGTACCTCAGTTGATATTTGGAGTGATTAATGGGAACCAACTTGTACCAGGCTGCAAACCCTTGGGCCTCCTCGATGATATTACTGCTCAGAGTGTTGATGAGCATGTGGTCTCAGGATGTATAATTAGTGTAATGCAAAGTCAAGTGTACTTTGTGGCTAACATATCTTCTGGGTTGCAAGTAGTGATTGGGTGAGGGATAGAGGATTTTTTCTGGCTTGACCATATGAGAAGTGGAGAAATAGCCAACCTTGTCAGCTTATGATATGTTGGCAAATGACAAGAAAGGTTAGAGCAGCACAGAGGGGCTTCCATGGGGCTGTTGTATGATGAACAGAAATACTTAAAGCAAAGCACATGGTCTCTCTCTCCCTCGCTCGATTCTGCCCAAATTTCATTCGGTGTGGTTGCTGAGAATTTTTTTTTTTGACGAGAAACAATTTATTTATTCAACAGCATCTAGCTGTTAGCACAGTTACAGAGTCAATTGTTACAGATTGCAGTGCATCCTGAACTGGTCGCCGATTGACATGATTTGTGTTTGAACAAACACATGAAACATTTGGAGGCAAAGACCTCATATCTAGAAGCGCCTGTCTAGCTAGAGAATCAGCAGTTTGATTTTGGCTCCTTGTTATCTTAAAGGTCGATGTGCTTCTGTATTGCGTGTAGTCGATGAAGTGCTGAGTGAGGTATTTGATTCTCCAGTCTGGTGGGTTGGAGTGATCATTGGCATTGAAGAAGGATACAAGCTCCTGACTGTCAGATAGAAAGTTTGTGTGGTGTAACTGTAACCGGTCCGTGACTGCTGCACCAAGTGCCATGGCTGCTGCCTCAGCCATTAGGACCGAGGTGGAATCAGTCATGGAAGCCTTGATGTAAATGTTCTGAGATGGATGGACCTGTGTATTGATAATGAGCACTCCAAGGCCAGCATTTTTTGTTGGCAGAGCGGTTTGGTCAGGCAAAGTTGATGCATCTGTGTCGCATCTGGATCCTTGCAAGGTTCCCGGAAGTTGGACAGTGAATCTGTCCGTGTAGCTCAGGCCGGGCCTGTGCTAGATCCTTGCAAGGTTCCCGGAAGTTGGACAGTGAATCTGTCTGTGCAGTTCAGGCCGGGCCTCTTGCCGAGATGTTGTGGCTATGCCGGCTCCTGCAATTGACGGATTCATACCTTGGCTGCCGGAGGCAACATTGCTGTAGGCATGTTCCGTACCCACGTGGCTGTTGTTGTTTGTAATTGGTTGTAATCCTGTAGGAACGTAAGATGTACTTTGGACTGAATTTGTACGGAGGCAGTGCGAGCGCACTTGTGTCT